TGGGTATGGATTCGAGTTAGGTCTAGAACCTAACCTGAACATTTAGATTAAGGCTGAACAATGGGTCAATGGTTCAACCACTCAAGACAATTGGTCTTTGACTAAGGGCATGTTTGTTTCCTCTTAACTCTTATCTCTTAAGAGAAATCTTATAAATTTAAGAAAAAAAAATGGGTGTTTGTTTCCTCTTAACTTTTATCTGTTAAGAGAAATCTTATAACTTTAAGAGAAAAATGGGTGTTTGTTTCCTCTTATCTCTTAAAGAGGAATCTTACAAATTTTTTGTTTCTAATGATACCCCCAAAACACAAGCAAAAGTTCTCATATATGGAGTTAAAATGGACACTTGATAATTTTCAAAATTCATAATTCAGAATTAAGAACAACACTCTTTGTATTTAGAGTTCAGAGGAAAGAAAAGTTCATCGATACCAATAAACCTCTTAATGTAATTATTGCATATTTAGATGTCAAGTCATTAAAGCGAACGAACAACCCTAAATCAACATTTTTACCAAAAATGAGTATAATTATCTAGTTCAAATGGTTCAAACACTTCAACCATCTAGGTCAATGTGGGTTTGAAAACATTTTTTTCAAGAAATTCTAGAATATTGTTAAAAAGGACTTTTATGGGACAATTAAGACACTTTTTCATACTAGGAAATTGTGTCCTACATTAAACAAAACATTTATTGCATTAATTCCAAAAACTAAGAATCCAAAAACTGTAAATAATTACAGACCCATCAGCTTATGTAATGTTATATATAAGGTGATTACCAAAATTCTAGTAAATAGAATCAAACCTTTCCTAGAAAATTTAATTTCTCCTTTTTAGAGTGCATTTGTTCCAAATAGACAAATAAACAATAATATTTGATCGCCTATGAAATGATACATTCCATGAAAAAGAAGAAAGGAAAGAAAGGAATCATGGCCTATAAAATTGATATGGAAAAGTCCTATGATAAACTGGAATGAGAGTTCACCACAACGGTTCTTAAGAAGTTTGGCTTCCACGAAAATGGATTGGATGGGTCATGGAATGTATTGAATGAAATTGTGTCTTTTCAGATTTTAATTAATGGTACTTTGTCCAAGGAATTCACTCCCTCAAGAGGAATAAGACAAGGAGACCCACTCTCTCCTTATTTTTTTGTACTATGTATTGAAGCTTTAACTAAAAAGCTTGAGAAAGAGTCCTTAATTCCTAGCAACCTGATTGGGACTATAGTAGCAAAAGAAAGCCCAAAAATCCCAATCCTCCAGTTTGCATATGATTGTATTATTTTTGTTGATCCTACAATATTTGCTTCTTTGAGAATTAGAGAAATTCTAATGGATTTTGCAAGGGCTTCTGATCAAAACCTGAACTTTAATAAATCACCAATCCAGTTCTCCAAAACACTCCTAATAGATTGTAGAAAATCTTGGCTTGAATCCTTCAGATTCTGATTCAAACTGACTCAAATTTTTATTTGAGAGCCCCAATTATTAATTCAAGGGTTACAAAAAAAAATGCATATCAATATGTTAAGGAAAGAGTCTATAAGAAACTTGCTGGGTGAAAAAAAAAACCATTAACTAGGAGATTAACTCTGTTGAATGCAGTAACCAATATGATGCCCCAGTTCATAATGAGATCCTTTAAAATGCCTCATAACATTACTGAGGATATCGATAGAGCCCAAAGGAACTTCTTGTGGAATTACTCAAATGAAAAAAAGCCCATTCATCTGCCTGGCTAGGAAAAAGTTTATTCCCAAAATCTAGGGGGTCTTGGATTGAGGAAACTTAAATGGGTCAGTGAAACTAGTCTTGCAAAGTTAGGGTGGAAGATCTCATTTGAAAAGGAAAATCTTTGGGTCAAAGTTGTTAGGGAAAAGTATTTGAGAAAGGAAAACCTGTGGGATGCAAAGAATAAGAAAGGAATTCCATATGCTTGGAGGGGTATTTTAAGTGCGAGATAACTATTGAAAATGGGATTAAAATGGGAAGTAGGAAACGGGAAGTCTATCGAGTTTTGGGCAGATAGATGGGTTGGTGAAGAATCTCTAGCAGAATGCTTAGCCCTAACCCAATGTGAAGAAGAAAATCCTCTTGTTAGTGATTTCATAAATCTAGAGAGAGGAGTTTGGCTAGAAAACAAAATTTGAAATTTAGTTCCTTAAATATTTAGAATAAAATCAAGTCAATTTTTATTCCTATGCGACCAAGAGAAGATCAACTAATTTGGATTTTGAACTCGAGTGGTGTTTCCACTATGAAATCGGCTTACAAGTTAAATTGCGGCAATGCTTACAATGGGGAGAATTCTATGAATTGGAATTTGTTAGTCTAGAACCTAAAATGCCCACCAAAACTACAAGTATTCCTCTACCTCCTTTTGAATAATAAGCTTCCCTCGAAAAACCTTAGGAAGAGATGTTTGAATACCAATGGTAGTTGCAGTATTTGTGGAGATGAGGAAGACCTTAATCATATCTTTAACAATTGTCTTTTCAAACCAAATATGGAATGTGGTGAATCTGAACCTTACCAGTGCAAATGGGCCTGATACCAGTTTATTGGATTGGTAGGCTGAGATTTGGTAGAGAATAATCACTTGAAAGAAAAGTGTGTATACATCCTATGGCATATATGGAAAAATAGGAATCAAAAAACATTCAATAAGGCCTACTCAGAATTTTGGGAGCTTATACAGAAATTGAATATTCTTAGAGAGGAAAAAAATTGGTTACCCCCGAGTCCTGGCACTATCAAGATTAATTTTGATGCTTCTTGTACCAAAAATGGAAGATGTTCAGTGATTGCTATTGCGAGAAAAGGCTATTCCCTTGGCACCTCTTCTATAAACACAGCAAAAGCATGGGTGGCGTGGAAAGCTCACAACTTGGCAGCTAATTTCAACGATTGTTCAATCATAATAGAAGGGGTCGAATCCCGTCATCTCTCTGTTGGATTGCTTGTAGTTGAAGGATAAGTTGGATAGCATAGTTATAGGCGCGTGTTTCGGGAAGCTAACCAGTGGCAGACTGGCTTACTAATAAGGCTCACTCTTTGGCTAATGGTTTTGTTTCCCTCAATCTTTGCATTCTCCCCTAGGATTTAGATTTTATTTGTTCGAGTGGTTTGTGGGGGACGTGTATCACTATCTGCTCCTATCAAAAAAAAAAAGGGCAAAGTTCTTAAATTACCCCAGTCAGTGAAGAGCATGAAATAGAGGGTGTGATTCGATGAAGAGGAACCTAGGAGACAAAAGGAGATGAGGAAAAGGTAGGAAAATGAGAGAAATTTGAGTGGAAAGGAATGGAAGAGAAAGAAAAGATGGGATGGGAGAACAACTATCGCCGCTAGTTTGAGTTGCAACGGCAGTTATTAGAATGAGGTCGGTGGTGGTGAGGAGCAAGAGAGAAGAATCACCATTGTTGGTTCGGTGTTCAGTGTTGGAGAGGAAGAGTGATGGCTCCTGATGTTCGGTGTTCACCAGTACCACCACTGGATCCAAATGGAGAAGACAGTGAATAGTAGATTATCGTGTTAATGGAGAGAGAGAGAGAGAGAGAGAGAGGTAGTTTAAAATAATAGCAATTGTTAGATATATTAGAGGTAGTTTAAGATAATAGTTAAACAATAAGGTAGAGTTGATTAATTAGCTAAACAGTAAGAGTAGTTTAAGAAGTTTACACAAAAAATAATGGGTCTTGCCAACATCCCACCTTCACTCATTATCATGCATTTGATGTATCTATCAAATCGTTATCATGCATTGGATGTATCTACCAAACTAGCATTTTAAACCCGCCATTTATCTAGTCAGTCAAACCGTTCAACCATCATTCAGCCTTGATTTTAGGATGAATTCTCAATTTGGTCAAAAAATGTTGAGTTGGTTAAAAACTACCTGACCAAAGAAGTTGAACTGTTGACTTGTTTAACTCAGTCATTGGATCACAAGCTGCACAGTCAATGTATGTGCAAACTTTCATAGGTTATAAACTTGAATGTGGACGCAATGGCTATTCAGCGGGCTGTGGAACCCAAGGTTCAAAATATCGATATGCCCGATACGCCAATAGGGGTGTATCGGGCAAATCGATACACATTTTCAAGCCCTTTTTTTGCAACCAATTCAGGGAGGCCGGTTTAAGTCTCCTTTACCCCCTGAACCGGTCAGACCGCCGATACACCCACTGTAGGTACGTATCGAAAGGGTCCCGGAACGATACGTATTGGCTGATACGGCCCGATACATATCGATACTTTGGACCTTGGTGGAACCAATGATAATGCCCCGCACCTGTGAAAAAATACATGGGGCCTATAGTGAAAAGGCTGTAGGTTGTATTTGATCACTGGCTGGAGTTTTATCATTGGTTCGACAGTTAATCCTTTCTCCACGACTTTGCATTCAATTATCTGATTGAGATGGTTTTTTATTTTTTTTTATTTTGGGAAACTTGGTAAGATTTATGCATTCCAAGGAACCAAAGTAATTTTTAACATTTTTTTACAAATAAAAAATTAAATTAAACAACGTAAATTAAACATAGAATAATATTTATATATACATATATTAAATCTAAAAAATAATTATACATTTTTATTGATAAAATATTTGTTATAAAAAATGCTGACATGTCACAATCTGACCCATTCGACCTAGATGGTCAAACCACCATCCACGACCTAGAGGCAAAAATAATTCAGCCTCCGGGTCCATTTTTAAAACATTGTATCAAACCCGTTGATATAACATCAATTTAATGCATCTTGTAATGGATTTTTAAGATTGGAAGCTCAAACATTGTTTAATGTATTTTATGATATCTACAAGTTCTAGATTCCCAATGTTGTTGATTGTAATGTATCTCTTAATATAAACTATTAAAGTGCACATTTCTTCTTATTCATATTAGTGTTATTAATATATTTACGAGATTTGTAAGACTCTCCAATGTACCCAAGTATATCCATATCATTCCACTGTATCCATATGTGCCTCAAGCATACGATATGATATATAACAATGTTTTGAACCTTACATTATGAGAACTCATAATACTTAATGGAAAGAACAAGCCTTTTATTTCTGTCTTCCTAAAGGAAATACTCCAAGGGGAGTTCAGTATGTGAAGCACACATGGACTCCCACACATTTAAAATTACAAGTGAAGTTCAAAAAGAGCAAGAAAAACATACTACTGAAGTTTTGACAAGTATAGAGGCGCTAATCCAAATTATGCATCTCACTTTGCAGGATTTCAGAGCTATCATGTCATGAAGAATAACATACTACTAAACAACTTCACAACTTTTATCATGTAATCTTAACCTGCAACCTTTTCTTATTAGTTTATGAAGGGCTGCCTTGGCTTCCTCTAATGTTTCTACTGCATGTCCTTCTTCAAAAGATAGCCTCTGAATGTTGAACTGAAAAACAAAGAACAGATCAAAGAAATGCTCCAATTATCTGAAACATATCTCGAGTATCACACCCGTCAAAATTCATAATGCAAGTTGTAACAAACTACTCTATGCTTTGTGCTATAATCCATCAGCAAACCCAATTAATGGGATACTGAATTGAGACCTCTTAGGTCAACCATAATCCAAATAGATAATCCTCACCATTTAAATTCAATACGTGACATTATTTTTGGACAGAAAAGGAAAATGCAGTTCATGACAATTCACAGATTGATAGTCAGAACCACCAATATTGACTTTCAATTATGACTAAAGCAGGAGGCATCACAATGTTAAATAAAAAAATGTAAGAACGAAACCAAAAAGCTTAATGCAACAATCCAATCATATACCAGATAATAATAACTGTTTGAGAGAGATTATCCAAAAATACAGTTGTTCATACAAGTTGTGTGTGCATTTGCTGATGATGCATGTGCAAGAAACAGGATTCAATATATACCTGTGCACCTTGACGAACACGGATATCAGTGCCTTTACTGTCAATTGATATGAGAGCAGCATCATCTATCTCTGTCTCAGTTGACAAGAGCTCTCTAAGTGGTTTGGAGAAGATTGCGTTCAGTTCCTATAAAACCAATCAAATATTTAAGAATCCTTTAAATTGGTTCACATCAATATCAAGGGGCACTTGAACATACCCAAGGCTGTATCGGATCAGGATATAACAGAACTAAGTATGGATTCTTTATTTTATAATTTTATTTAATTTTTTTTTTTTTTTTGGGGGGGGAGGGGGGGAATCTGCAAGTTTCTAGGTTCCACCTTTCACATCTAATTCTGTAAAGAAATTGATTTCAGGAACTTGAAGATTGACATGAGTCCGATTTTATGTCCGAGGATTTCAAATTTTCTGGGATGTTCATCATTTTAATTCTGCATAACTAGGAGTTTAAACAGTGTTCATTTCCAAAAACAGCCTAAACTAGGCAAACAGAATAAGCAAAAGTACATTATGCTGCTTGTTTGGCCAAATTAAGCATTAAAGAGATTCACCTTTAGATTCTGCTCCCCTCCATCAACTGCAATCTTATCAGGTTGAAGACTCTCATATTCCTCGACATCTACCCAAGCAACAGTGCCAAAGCCTCCAATGAAATATATATCACTGGTAGAAACAAGGAGAAATCAAGCCCACAATGCTAAGAAAGAGATTTCATGCTAATGACTTCCCTTGCAGAATAAACAACACATGCTTATGCTGTCAATGATTATGATGCCACAAGGTCTTGACTTCTCAGAACATAGGAAAACCCAAAATGGTTAGCCAGAGATATCCCATGCAGCCACTACATTTACAAAATATTGAGTGCATAAATTATTACAAATCACACACACATAGAGTTCATCTTTTATTTGGATTGAGACTAAATACAAGCTGGTTAGGACTCAAAGTTTTCTCATCTTTGTAGAATGTAGTTCAGCACTTTCAAACCTAGTCTAAATAGATTAATTATCCTTGGCAGCCTCAGGAAATATTGACCAAGGCAATTGAGGTATTGGTAGTGAAATTACAGGTTGGTCAGGAGGTACTAACAGTGGCAGAGGTGGTCCCTGGTGGTGTGCTGGTCATAGTGGTCAAGGTGGTGGTAGTGGTGGTGGAGAGAGGTCATGACAAAGGACATGCACCTCCTCAGAAGTGCACATATTGCGGCCTGTATAGCCATAGTAGTGTTTTAAAAGGCATGGGAGGCGTATGCACGCCTCCAGGCGAAGCGCTCCCTAAACGCCCTGAGGCGTATGCCAGAGCCTCCAGGCGAGGCTCCCAAAACGCCCTGAGGCGTGCTAGAGGCGTACGCCTCTTGCGCCTCATGCACATCTGATATGAAAATACAGAAAAAAAAAAGAAAAAAGAAAGAAGGAAAGGAAAAGAAAAGAAAAGGAAAGGAACAGAAAAGAAAGGGAAAGGGAAAGGGAAAGGGAAAGGGAAAGGGAAAGGGAAAGAAAAGGAAAGGGAAAGAAAAGGAAAGGAAAGAAAAGGAAAGATAAGAAAAATAGAGAAAAGGAAATAAAAGAAAAGTAAGGGAAGGGAAGAAAAGATAAGGGGAAAGAAAATGGTTTGCCTCCTCGCTTCGCTCGCTCGCCTTTGCTTCGACAAGACCCCCCTTTGAACTACTGTTATGCATCTTTATTCTTCTTAATATAAAAGATTTTTATTAAAAATAAAGAAAAAATGAGATCCCCCCTTCCTTTTCATCCTCCTCATAACCCCCCTCCTCTTAAGGAGGCTTACGCCTCCTTGTGTTCAGGAGGCTTACGCCTCTTGCGTTCTGAATTACGCCTCACGTCTCTAGGTAGTGGAACGCCTCACATCACGCCACCGCGTTTTAAAACACTGCCATACTACCCATTTTTATTATGATCATCTTGACCAAACATCTAGTTAGGTTAATCACGCAGTTGAAATCTTTCAAGATGAATATAAAAAACTTCACTAGGCTTTGCCAATTAAATAATATTGTAATTCTTACCAAAGCAGATACAGTTTGTCTTGTTTCCCCAAGTTTTCTCAAAACGCCTTCTTGGGTCATGGGTTTAAGACCTTTACATCACATAACTAACATTCAGGTATGTTTATTTAATTAATTTTCTACCTCTATTGGCAGATGGAACTACATCTAAATTGTCCAGATTAGTATTTTTTCATCCTAATTCTTCTTGTCTTTATCTCCTGTTTTGCACATTGCCAAGTTTCTTCTTGATCTAATGTCTTGTGAGTAGACCAAATCCATTAATTGTTCCCCAACTTTTATCCTTCTGTATTTATTAGGATCTAGAAACAAAGATAGTGGTTTATATTACCTAGGTAGATGTCAATGTCTAAAATCAAGGTTAGTAGCAGAAGGATATATTCAGACCTATAGTATCAACTATTCTAAAACATTTGGCCTGCTTCTAAAATTAGACCAATGCATTTTATTATTTCCTTAGCCAGTGTTTTAAAAGCACAAGAAGCAAAAAAGGCACAGGGGTCAATTTGCACCTTAGGCGCAAGGCGAGGTGTGCGCCTTTTTGAAGCAAGGCACAAAAAATAAAAATAAAAAATGCTAAAAAATCAAAATAAAAGTCAAAATAAAAAATGCCAATAAATCAAAAATGGAAAAAAATAAAAAAGAAAGTATTAAACATAATATTAATAAAATATATAAACTTAAATTTTAAAATAAATGTTTTAAAACCTATTATCTAAAATTAAAATACATAAACATAACTTGTAAAGCATACTCAAATGAGAATTTAAAAATAAAATCAAACATATAAAACAGTTTCAAGCATGTAAAACCGACAATCTCTTTTTTTCTCAATTGCATTACTTCAAGTAGCTAATGTGATGTAAAACATACTGATTCTATGAGCCGCCTTTGTGCCACGCCCCTCAAAGCAAGCCCAAACAAGTCCATGTTAGGGTCTTAAATTCTTAATTCTAACACAAAAAATAATGATTTTATAATTTTAATTGCTTTTTAAGAAGATATTTTTTTAGGATCAATGAATGAACATCATTACCAAATAGGGGGTTCTCGAGGCTTCGGTGAGCAAGTGAAGCCAACGAACTGGTGAGGTGTGCCTTTTAAATCACCGTCCTTAGCCATTAATCTTGGCCAGAAATTCTTTCGATTTTTTTCTAATACATGAAATTCTTTCAATTTGATGTCAATAAGCGCGCGCGTGTATGTGTGGGTTGGTGGGTGGAGCAAGAAAAGGACGAGGAAGGTGACACTCCACATCCTTTGCCAACAGAGAAGGAAGGGGAGATTGAAGGATTAAAAAAGAGGAAAAAGAAGGGGCATAGCATGGAGTAGGCCAGCAAAAGCCCAATGAACAGGCAAAGAAGGCAAGAAAGTCAGGTAGGAAAAGAAAGAAAAAATCAAGCAAGGTGGAGAGACTGAAGTGTGAAGTGGATTATGATAAAGGGAGTTTAGGTCCTCTAGGAAGGGAAGATAGTAAGGGAAGTTAAACCTTCAAAGGATTACTTAGAACTTGCTTTTATGAAAATAATACGTTCGAATTTAAGGGGTTTGGATAGCTCAAGGAAAAGAAGAGTGATTAGGGAAATGTTGAGGAAAGAAAAGCCAACTATAGTATTGTGTCAAGAGTCAAAGCTTCCTGAAGTGGATAGAAGGTGGGTAAGAAGTATATAGTCTGCTAGAGGTTTAAGTTGGGCCTTCTCACAACCTTTAGGGTCTTCAAGGGGGAAATTATAACTGTAGAAGCTTTGAGTGCATAGGGGAACTAATTGGAAACTTCTTAGTCTTTGTCAAACTAAAAAGGAAGGAAGATGGCTTAGTTTGGGTCTTAACTAATGTGTATGGCCCTACATCTTATAGAGAGAGGGAAGGGTTGTGGGGGGAATTAGCAACTATTAGAGGAATTTGGGATGGTCCATGGTGCTTTGGAGGAGACTTTAATGTGATTAGTTACTTACATCAAACTAATAACCCCCACTATAGGATCACTTCTAGTATGATAAACTTCAATCGTTTTGTGGATTCTTTTGAGTTGAGGGAGATGCCTCTCTTACAAACTAAATACACCTAGTCAATTTTTCAAGAGGCAACCCATTTGTTACAAATTGGACATATCAATTTTTAAAAGCGCAAGGTGCAGGGGTCAATTTGCGCATGAGGTGCAAGGTGTAAGGCGAGGTGCGCGCCTTTTTGAAGCAAGGCGCAAAATTATAAAAAAAAAATGCTAAATAATCAAAAAATTGTCAGAAATTTCAAAAAAATGTCAAAAATCAAAAAATACTAAACATAATATTAATAAAAATATAAACTTAAATTTTAAAATAATTTTTAAAAAAACTATTAACTAAAATTAAAATACATAAACATAAGATGTAATTATGTAAAGCATAATGAAATGAGAATTTAAAAATAAAATCAAACATATAAAACATTTTTAAGCATTTAAAACCTCTAATCTCTTATTTCACTCAATTGCATTCCTTCATGTAGCAAATGTAATGTAAAACATATCACATTCCTGATTCTACAAGCCGCCTTTGTGCCACGCCCATCAAGGCATGCCTAAACAAGTCCATGTTAGGTCTTAAATTCTTAGTTTTCACACAAAAAAATAATGATTTTATAGTTTTACTTGCTTTTTAAGAAGACATTTTATTAGGATGAATGAATGAACAACATTACCAAATTGGGGGTTCTCGGACCTAGGACTTTTGAAAGGACTGCGCCTAGGACCTAGGCGAGGCGAGGCGAGGCGAGGCGAGGCGCATACCCTGAAATGTGCCTCGCCTATGCGCCTAGGCACGCCTCAGGCGTGCCTTTTAAATCACTAGACATGTGTCTCTTGTTCATAGTATATTGATCCTGTTTTCCTTATAATTTAGACCTATGTCAAGGGGTGAGAAGGGAATCACTGAGAGTAAGGGCATGATATTCTATTTCTCTACAAATAGTGAAATTGTTTTGCTCTTTCCTTCAGAAGTAGGATTGCAAGACAAAACACATAAACTGTGTTTCTTCTTCTCCATATTTCTGATTTATTATTTCCTTCTCTGTACATTGCCATTCTCTTGATAGACTGTCAAAACAGGAGTAAAGCCAATCCTACATGGTTGGGTTAAGCCTTGTTGCGTTGGGTTGAGTAGAGCAGGTTGGCAGTCCTACTTATCTGAGTAATATTACAGCCATTATCAAACAAAATACACAAAAAGGGAAATTACGTTTTTGAACAGTATGAGTATGAAATGTGTTGCTAGACAGGGGTGTGATTGGGTGTGATGCCAAGTCGAAGGGCACTTTTCTAAACTGATTTTTCTGATTTTTATTAAATATAAATATGGTTAGATTTGTGTTGTTTCTTTGTACTGTGCCTGCTGCCTGTTAGGTCAGGTTTCTTTTATGATCATTAATACAAATTTCTGTTAATTTCATTAAAAAAAAAACAAAAAAAGTAGAGTATGAAACTGACTTTCAATCAACAAACAGATGCAATAAAAATAGGAAGTACAATTTATTGACTTGTTTAAGTCAATGCAAACCACAATGTTTTTGTCAAATCAGAATAAATTCAGACACAAATGACGAACCTTATGTTTTGCATCCTGAAATAGTAAAAATTTCCCCATTGCTGGGAAGCTCCTTGTTGATGTTTTGCAATATACTGCTTATGAGCCCATTCCTGTCAATACAGTCAACCACAGAAACAATAAATTCACAAATATCCATGTTTCTCTCATACAAATTCCCATCTCTTCTGAATATAGCATATATGAGGATAAATGCAGGGGTCTGAAACCACCAGCAAAACACTCACATGCAGGTCTTTTGTTTCATTTTTTTAAGTCACAACCAGTGTTTTAAAATGCGGAGGTGTGACACGAGGCGTTCCACTACCTAGAAGCGTGAGGCGTAATTCAGAACGCAAGAGGTGTAAGCCTCCCGAACACAAGGAGGCATAAGCCTCCTTAAGAGGAGGGGGATTTATGAGGAGGATGAAAAGGAAGGGGGGGATCTCATTTTTTCTTTATTTTTAATAAAAAACTTTTATATTAAGAAGAATAAAGATGCATAACAGTAGTTC